ATGTTCCCTGTGAACGTACTGCTCACTGGAGCCAGGATGCGCTCCCCAAGGGCTCCCAACGCTGCAAGACCTTTGATGTGAATAGGCCTATGCCTGGTCTCATGTCCATGGGGCTGAGGCTCAAACAGAGCCATCCGTATTGCTGGGCTTGGTCCCATTAGATCATGAGACCGTGGAGACCTACAGTCAGAAGTTCATGTATTAATAGCAATTCATTCCTGCCAAGGACTCCACTCTGATGCTGATGCCAAAGACCTCTGACGCTGTTCTCTGCCCTGGATCCTACTTTCCCACAGACAGGTCCAGACCTTAACAGTGGTAACCAGGTCGCTGTCCACACTGTGCTATACCCAGGACTGGACTTCTCCTTTTGCATGTTGAGTCCACATGAGGCTGGAACTCAGCCCCACCTCTGTGCAGCCTGACCAATGTTTTAGAACTTCCTGTTTTAAAATGTATATACTGACTCTGGAAAGGAAGAAGTAAAACCATCTCACTATGATGATGGCATGATTTTACAGGAAAGCCTAGATTTATAAAAACAAAACAAACAAAAAACTAAAACACACACACACTATTAAAGCTAGTAAAAGATGAAGAATATAAGATCAATATATAACAATCAGTTGTATCTTTATACTCTACTAATGAACAATCTGAAAATAAAAGTAAGGAAACAATTTCATTTACAACAGCATAGAATTAAATACTTAGGAATAAATTTAAGCAAGAATGCATGAAATCTGTATATCAAAAACCACAAAACACCATGGGAAAAAGTTAAAGAATACCTAAGTAAATGCAGTGTTCATGGATTGAAAAACTCAATATTGCTAAGATAGCAATACTCCCCAAATTGATCTACAAGTTCAATGCAATCCCTATTAAAATTAATTTTCCATTTATTGATAGTGTCCTTTGACCCACAATAGTTTTATAGTTTTAGTTCTTAACAATTGGGCCCTTAATCCATTTTGAGTTAATTTTTGTATCTCACATGAAGTAGGAGTCCAAATTTATTCCTTTGTATCTGGTTGTCTCTGCAACATTTGCTAAAGAGGCTAATATTCTCCCACGGAGTAGTCATGGCACCCTTGTTGAAACCACTTGCAATCACACTCCATTTATCTATTTACAATCTTAAACAGAAGAATACAGTTGGAGGCCACATACTTCCTGATTTCAAAACTTACTACGAAGTTACAGTCATCAAAACAGTGGAATGCTGGCCTAAGACAATAATGGAATATAATTAAGAGTTCAGAGCTAAAACTGAAAAACTTTGGGCAGGAAACAGGTACAAATCTTTGTGACTTTGGATTAGACAGTGGTTTTTTAACTATGACACCAAAGCCACAAGAAACAAAAACAACTTATAAATGTACCTTTATCAAAGTTAAAAACTTTTGTGTGTGAAAGGACACCAGCAAATAATTAAAAAGGAAACCACAGGATGGATAAAGTTATTTGCATATCACATATCTGATAAGAGACCGGTGTCCAGAATCTATATATATAAAAGCCTAATATACAACGTGTCCCCTTGGGAGTTTGACTACCCATGAGTTTGATCACTCACTATGACGTGCGCTTACCAACAGGGGGTGGCATGGAATGAAGGGAGGCCCCGACCAGCAGCCGCTAGGGACCCTAGCTGTGCACGAACTTTGTGCACTAGGCTTCTAGTATATAAATAACGCTTTTAAGAATAAAAAGCCAAATAACCCAAATTTTAGAAAGGCAAATGTTCTGAATAGATACTTCCCCCAAAAAATACCCAATAAAGTAAATTTCCAAATGACGTGGAAAGGTACTCAACATTGTTATTCATTAAAGAAATGTAAGCATAAATCATAATGAGTCATCATTTCATACCCTATCAATTTTTTAAAGGAAGGAAACTAACAAGTGTCGGTAAAGATGTGGAGAAATTGAAACACTCATACAACATTGGTAGGAAAGTAAAATGGTGCAGCTTTGTGAAAAACAGTTTGGCAATTCCTCAAAGAGTTAAACATAAAGTTACCATACAATCCGGAAAGTTCACAACCCAAGAGAATTAAAAATATATGTCCAAATAAAATGTGTACATGAATGTTCAGAGCACCATTATTCATAATAGCCAAAAAGTCAAACAACCCAACTGTCCATCAACTGATGAATGGATAAATGAAATGTGGTTTAACCATACAATGGGATTATGCAACCATTACTTAATCAGTTATTTAATCTTAAAAAGGAAGTACTGACATGCCACAATATGGATGAATCTTCAAAATGTGCTAAGTGAAAGAAGCCAGACACAAGAGATCACATATTGTATGATTCCATTTACATGAAATGTCCAGAATTGACAGAACCATGGAGACAGAAAGTAAATTAGTGGTTGCCAGGGGATGGAGAGAGGTGGGGAGTGGGATTGATTACTAACAAGCATGGCATTTCTTTCGTGGGGGGTGGTGATGGAGATGTTCTGAAATTGGATAGTAATGGTGATTGTACATTGTGAATATTCTAAAAACTTCTGAATTCCACAATTTAAAATCATAAATTTTTGCCTGGTCAGTGTTGCTCAGTGGTTGAGCATTAGCCTATGAACCAGGAGGTCATGGTTCCATTCCCGGGCACATGCCTGGGTTACAGGCTCGATCCCCAGTAGGGGGCCTGCAGGAGGCAGCCAAACAATGATTCTCTCATCACTTGTTTCTATATTCCTCTCTCTCTCACTTCCTCTCTGAAATCAATAAAAATACATTTAAAATAAATATATAAAATAGTGAATTTTACGTTACATGAATTTTATCTTAATTTCAAATAATCATAATTATTTATAACCGGTACATTAATCAAATACAATTTTTGATAAAATAAAAATACAACTTAAAAAATACATTATCTTTTAATATCCCTTCTAACTCCAAAATTACCTGAACCTACCCTTGATAGATTCCAGGTAGGAAGCCTGGTGGTGGGAGGAGGAGGGATTAGTGAAGACTCCATCTCCCACCTTCCTTCAACCTACTTTTGGTTTCTCATGAGAAGCACCATTTCTGCCTGAGACGCATGGAAAGAGGTGTAGCTATAGGTGAGTTCCTTTTAAACTTATGTTCTCCTCTAATTTTAACAGGAATTCTTAGACTTTGGTGGCCAGCAGAACCACCTGATGAGCTGATAAATGTGCAGATTCCTGAGCCCTCCCTCCAGAGGCTGATTCCATGGGTCAGTGCGTGGTGCTTGGAGTAGAACTGTCATATATAACACTTTTCCTTATGCTAAAGAAAGTAGAGGGGATTAATTTGTTATAAGTTTTTATGTAAGGTATGGTTGTTATTGGTATTTAGATAATTTAGAACTGTGTTTCTCAATCCTAAATATATTGCGGACCAGAAAGATAAGTTTACTAGGGTTGAGGAGGCCAAGGAGATGGGGAGGGAGAGCAATGACAGGCAAAGGGGAACCAAACTAGAATGTAACTCAGAGTGGTTTAGGGTCTGGCAACATTCTCCTTCATATTCCTAAGGCCTTCCGGGCCCAGACTAGGAGTACCTCTCAATTTTTGAGCAAATGAATGAATAACCAACAGAAAAGTGGAGTGGTTTTTGTAGATGCCCAATATCCCCTTTATTTTTAATTTGCTGAGAGTTTATGTCATGAATGGGTATTGAGTTGTGTCAGATGCTTTCCTGCTTTTATCAAAAAGGATCATATAGTTTTGTCATTATTCTGGTTAATATGGTGAATTATATGGATTATTTTTTAAAAGAACAATTCTTTTTTAAATCGATCGTTATTGATTTCAGAGAGGAAGAGAGAGGCAGAGAGAGATAGAAAAATCAATAATGAGAGAGAATCATTGACCGGCTGCTTCCTGCATGCCCCGCAATGGGGATCGAGTCCACAACCCGGGCATGTGCCCTGACCTTCAGAATTGAACAGTGACCTCCTGGTTCATAGGTCGACACTCAACCCTGAGCCATGGCAGTTGGGCAGATTAATTTTTCAAATATTGAACCAATCTTATATTTCTTGGATAAAGACCACCTGGTCATGGTATATTATCCCTTTTAAATATATTGTTGGATTTGATTTGCTAATATTAGGTCAAGGGCTTTGCTTCTATGTTCATGAGGAAGTTTGGTTTGTCATTTTGGGTGGCGGGGGTTGCAATATTTTTGTCTGGTTTTGGTATCAGGATTGTGCTGGCCTCATAAAATGGCTTGGGAAGTATTCCATCTTATATTTCAGATAGTTTTTATAAGATTCATATCATTTCTTCCATAAAGTTTCACAGAATTCACTAGAAAAGTCATCTAGAGTTTTCTTTGTGGGAAAATTTTTTTATATAGTTAACTAAATTTCTATAATAAATGCAGGACATTTCAATTTGCCATATCATTTCATGTCTGTTTTAATAAGTTGAATTTTTTAAAGTTTTTTCCCCATTTCATTTAAGCTGTTGAATTTAAGATAAAATTAATATATTTCTTTGTTATTCATTTAAAGTCTGTAAGATCTGTACCAATCACCATTCTTTCATACCTGCTGTTGACAGTTTCTGTTCTCTGTTTTCACTCAATCGAGCTAGAGTTTTATTACCTTTACAAATATTTTTCAAACAACCAGATTTTGTTTTGTACATTTTCTCTCTTTTATTTTATATTTCTTTATATCTTTATCTTTATTATTTCCTTCCTTCTACTTACTTTGTGTTTAATTTGTTTTCTTTCCAGTTTCTGAGCCACCGATTTTAGATCATTGATTTTTAAACCTTTCTTTTTTCTAATTAAAGCATTTAAAGCTATAAAATTTTCTCTAAGCACTGCTTTAGTTACATCTCATGAATTTTGATATGTGCTATTTCCATTATTAATTATTATTCAGTTCAAAATATTTTACAATTTGCCTTGTGATTTGTTCTTTGACTCATAGAGTCTTTAGAAGTATGTTGTACTTCCAAGTTACCGAGGTTTTTCTAGGTATCTTATTGTTATTTGTTTCAGATATTCTCAGTGTCTAGATGGAGCCCTCAGGCATCCCAGAGTCCACCACCCCTTATGATTATGATTCGCAGAGCCTTTTGTGTGAGACTCAGACCTTCACCTTTGCGACCTTCAACACCACCATCCTGTACTGCCTGGTGTTCTTCCTCAGCCTGGTGGGCAACAGTCTGGTGTTGTGGGTCCTGGTGAAGTATGAGAGCCTGGAGTCCCTCACCAATGTCTTCATCCTCAACCTGTGCCTCTCAGACCTGGTGTTCTCCTTCCTGTTGCCTCTGTGGGCCTTGGTGTACCACTGGGGCTGGGTGCTGGGAGACTTCTTCTGCAAGCTCTCCAACATGATCTTCTCCATCAGCCTCTCCAGCAGCATCTTCTTCCTGACCATCATGACCATCCATCGCTACCTGTCTGTGGTGAGCCCCCTCTCGTCCCTGAGGGTCTACACCCTCCAATGCCGCGTGTTGATGACCACAGCTGTGTGGGCCGTCAGCATCCTGTCCTCCATCCCTGATGCCGTCTTCCACAAAGTGTTTGATCCTCCAGAATATTCATCAGAACCTTCGAAATGTGATTATTCAGAACTCAAGTGGTACCTGGCCTCGGTCTACCAGCACGTTGTCTTCTTCCTGCTCTCCATGACGATTATCCTGTTCTGCTACGTGGAGATTCTCAGGACCCTGTTCCGCTCGCGGTCCAAACGGCACCACCGGACAGTCAGGCTCATCCTCACCATTGTGCTGGCACACTTCATCAGCTGGGCTCCCTACAACCTCATCCTGTTCCTGCAAACACTGTTGAAACTTAAGATCATTCAGAGCTGCAAGGCCTACTGGCAGCTGGATTATGCCTTGCTCATCTGCCGTGATTTTGCCTTCTCCCACTGCTGCTTCAACCCAGTGCTCTATGTCTTTGTCGGGGTCAAGTTCCGCAGACACCTCAAAAGTCTGCTCCGGCACTCCAGGCTCTGCCGGTCACAGGCGCCCAGCCTTTCCCCGGTACCTCACTCTCCAGGTGCTTTCCACTCTGAGGGCGCCTCCTTCTATTGAAAGGGAGTTTGGCGCTGCAGGTTGAGATGGACAGAAGAGATGGAGGGGAAGCAAAGAGAAGTGGTACAAGAAAGAGCATTGCAGAAGGCACAACACTGGGGACGCTACGGCTGCAGGGGTGGGAGGTGAAAGAAATACCTTATACCAGGAGGTCCTATTGCAGAAAAGGGGCTCCCTGCCTGGAAGTTTTATGTTGCCATCAAGAAAAACACTTCTTGGATTCTGAGTTTGTTATTCATTCCTTCACTTATTCATTCATTTAGACATGGGTTTGTTATTATTACTTAGTTCAGAAGGTTCTAAAACATAAGAGGATTCCCAGAAAGGAGCATCCTTCAAGACTTGAGGAGGGGCTGAAACTCATGTGTGATAATTGTGCAAATGTAGGCTGCTGGCAAGACAGTCTCTCCCATTCCTGACTGTACGGTTATCCCAGCTAATTTTAGAGAGCATTCCTCAGTGACGACTGGATGAGGACAAAAGTACCCACATCCTCAAATAAGCATAGTCAGACGAAATCTGAATTCTAAAAACCTACAACTAGACTGGAGATGTGTTCTGTATCATAATTTCAATTTCTAGCATATGTAGTCCATAGATCTTTTATTGAAAAAAAAGAATGAATGCAATAAGTGCTGCCGTCTGCATGAAGCAAGTACTTGGAGGATATCAAGATGAACAAGGTACCAACGTCCAGCTCTGAAGGCCCAGGCTTGCATCCATCTTGGTGAAGGCAGCCAAGGTGAAGATTCCTCCAATATCTCATTCTCTCCCTGTAGCTATTGATCTGACACTTCAGACTCATCATGTTCCACCTGGAATGTTCTCCTGCTTGGTTGACAGCACCAGCTTCCCCCTGGTTGCTCACCCTCCAAACCTGAGTCATTTTCAAGCCATGCGTTTCCTTTCCTTCCACTCCCACAGCCAAGTTCTATTGATTCTGCCTTCCCAGTGCCTCTCAGAGTTGTTCTCGCCATTGCATGCTCATGGATTCATCCCCAATGGCCTCACTTCCTCAGCATCTTCCTGTTGCTCATCTCTTTCCCCACCAGCATCCTCTGCATTGAAACCGAGCTGCGCAAAACCCTTAGGCAGCTCCTTATTACCTACAAATAAAGCCCACACACCTTAGCAAGTCCTTCAAGGCCCCTGAAATCCACTGCTAGCTAACTTGTGCATTCTATTCCATCCTAAGCCCCCATGCCACCAGCGTGGCATCCAACCACAAAAGACCCAGTTTCCTCTTGGCCTCTGCCATGCTGTCCCATGCTGGGCCAGGGACACTTGTCCTTCTGCTCCCTAATCTACAAGCCCCAGCTGAAAGGCCATCTTCTTCAGGAAGCCCTCCCCCATCTTTAAATCAGGAGAGCACTCTCTGGTTGTTGTGGCACTTTGCTTGTCCCTGAAAGATATTATTTGTCACTTTCCACCACATGTCATAGTTATGCACATGCATGTCTTTTTTAAAAAAATATATTTCATTGATTTTTTATAGAGAAGAAGGGAGAGGGATAGAGAGTTAGAACATCGATGAGAAACACCGATCGGCTGCCTCCTTCACACTCCCTACTGGTATGTGCCTGCAACCAAGGTACATGCCCTTGACCGGAATCAAACCTGGGACCCTTGTGTCCGCAGGCTGTTGCTTTATCCACTGAGCCAAACTGGTTAGGGCTGCACATGCATGTCTTATCTCCCTGCCCCATCAGACGGCAAACTGGCTGAAGGCAGGCACCTGGTCCTGCACCCTGCCAAGCATGGACCCTGGTGCTCTGTCATTGTGTACGAAGTGGGAGCAAAGCGTGACAGCTGTCATTATTCTTCTAATTGATTTTTGGGGATGTGTGCCATGGGGCACTTTCTACCTTCCTTGCCCCAAGCTACTTCCTTATCAATATTAACCTTTCTTTCCTAGTCTACACTCAGAGTACATTGCTTAATCTTCTAGGTGGCAATGACTATATGCTTAATCTTCTAGGTACCTTGTTGGTACCTTTATCTCAGGGTTGGAGATAAAGTGTGAAACAAGTCCTGTGTGAATCAGGATGGTGGAAAATTGGCTCCATTTAGGCCTTAGGCAAAATTGTCCGAGGCCAAGTCTGTCTGGAGTGTTCCCTGGCTCAGTTCCCTGCCTTTTAGTTCATGGTGCGCATGCTTGCCTCTTCCATGGTCCCGTAGCTTCACATCCAAGGACCACCCTCTAAATTTTCCCATACCATCCAGACCTGGTCCCAGTCTGTGAACCTAATTCAGCTCTGGACTAGGGCCTTTAGAAAAGCTCCCCAGCTGATTCTGACATGTACCCTACTTAGAAACATTGGGTGCAACTCCTTGAAAATGGGAATTCCAGAATCTTCCACAGTTCATTGAGGAAGACTTTGCAGAGTCACTGTGGCCCTCAATATATGTTTATTGAATAAAGTAGTTACTAATACAGCCCTCAGCTGGAGCCTGGAGAGCTTATAAAGCATTTTCCCCTTCAGTTCCAGCTATTATTTCAATACTCTAGTTGCCATTGGGTGGCCATCCTTGGAGGGCATTGACCTTGCTAGGGAAGAGTGAAGGTCTAATTTTAAGAATTGGTCAGTAACACCTGCTGGAGAAGGTTGAGTGGTGCACCAGTGAAGGGACTAGCTAACCAATAGGTGGGCCATCACCCACCATCTGTGGAAGAAATAGCTCACCACCTAAGGAAAGAGATGATGAAATGGTTTGGGGGGGTCTGAGCTAAGCCTGTGGGCTTCTATCAGGACAATTTGGCATCCCCTTAAACTGGGATTACTTAACTTTTGTCCAACTTTTATTTAGATGGCAGGCTGAGGCCAGGGAGCAGAAAAACAGAGGATTCCAGATTACACACCCACTTGGCCAAACCAAAGCTCCATGGGTTTTGAGCCCACTCTTCTTAGAAGGCAGGCTTAAGGGGTCTTGTATCACCAGAGAGCATGGCCTTTGAGAGGCTTGATCCACTGTCTCCTTACCCCATCCCATTCCTTCAAATCCCAAGATGCATATCTAAGTATTTCTTTCAACAATTACAGCCATATCCCTAGGAGAGTTCATGAAATACAATCATGTCCATCTCTACATTTCTAGTGATGTTTTGGCACTCCCAATAGACTAGCTCTGAAAGTGATCTTTATCCAAGAGTCTTCTCCTAGTCCAGTTCCTTGGGAATGCAAGGAAAGAGGCATAGAGACAGAAAGGTCAAAACTGGAAGGTAGAGGGACACCCTATCAGAAAGGGAGTGTGGGTAAGGCCAGGGACTGTACTCTACATTCTCTGACCACACCCTTCATCAGCTACAACCTCCTGCTTTCTTCTCCCTCCACCCACTAAAACTACTGTTCAACCTCAACCGGGCTCTTGTGAGCCTATCCCTCCCCTAATAGTTGAAATATGATGCCCTGGTCACAGGGCTGCAGAACTGCCACACCAGAAACATATAAAATCCCCAGCGGTACCCAAGGAAGATCTTCTTCACAGCATTTCCACCTCCACACTCCCTCAAACAAAAATCAAGAGGAGAGGAACCTTGCTGATCTCCAAATAGGAACGTACCTCCAAGCCCAGGGCAGCCCCAGACCTCAGATAACCCTAGCCAGAGTGGAACTTCCTCAACAGCACAATCTGTGTTGCATAACTAGAAACTGCCTTGGTGCCCCACAATATTTGTGGTTGGTTGACCAAGTGGATAAGGAGACTCTCTTTTTGTTGTTTTTTTGTGTGTTTTTTTCTACTTCCATTTCCTCTTCTGACACTTGCTTATATTACATCCACCTTCCAGTCAACTCTAGGTACCATTCATAGGCTTCCCATGGGTTCTTCTCCAGAGCCCACCAGCCCAGGCATCACCTGGTTTGTTGAATTCCTATGGCTTTCATTTGTGAAAGCTGCCTCTGGTGGGACAAAGAAACCCACAAGCATGGAAAGCCCAGTAGAAAAGACCCCCAAAGTAAACTGGCTGAGAAGTCTCTTGGGATTTGAGCCCTGGACTCAAACCCCAAATCCAAGCTCTTTACTCACTGTGACCTTGGATCCCTCAGAGCCTCAGTGTCCTCATTTGTAAAACTGTATGTCAACAACACAAAGATTCTATGCACACAATGGAGGTGCACATGAGGTTATGTGTGTAAAGTACTTGCTTTGTAAATCATTCAGCCCAGACTAATATGAGTTACTATTGTAATCATCTAATAAAAACAGAATCATTGTATCATATGCACAAATAAATCTCTACCCAAGATCATTACATGAGATTCCTAAAAGTTCTCTGCTTATGGGGGGAACTGGGTTAGGGTTTGGGGTGAAGGGAGGGACACAGAAGAAGGGTTGGAGATAAAGTGTGAAACAAGTCCTGTGTGAATCAGGATGGTGGAAAATTGGCTCCATTTAGGTCTTAGGCAAAATTGCCCGAGGCCAAGTCTGTCTTGAGTGTTCCCTGGCTCAGTTTTTTGTCCCTATCTCTCCTCTGGCCTAACACCCACGTCTCTGTCTCCAAGTCCAGGGCTTTTTCGTATCTCTTAATCTAACTGTGTCTGAACAAGGACCAACCAGAAGGAATGATACTGCTTTCTGCTCGGAATTTCTTTTTCACACTAAGTCTTTGGAACTCAAGTGTATTCTGCACTTACAACACATGTACAATAACTCAAACTAGCCACATTTCAAACTCTCAAAAGCCACACACGGACGGGGCTGCTTTCCCCAAACCATGGTGTGTGTGTCCTCGGAGACTGAAAGATTAACCCACAGCCAGATGCAAGGGAGAACCAGTAGGCGTTGTCAACCTCGGCTCTGCGGAGCATGCTGGGAGTTGTAGTCTGAGCCCATCTGTCGCTGGGGTCCGATGGGCGTTGTAGGCCTCGGGCTTGTGGTGCATGCCGGGAGTTGTAGTCCGCACCCGCTTGTGGCGGGCTCTGCGTATCATGGCCGTCTCCGCCGCGCACCCGCAGTCTTCCGCTTGGCCCCAGAAAGTTTCGGTTCTGCCCAGCGGTGGACCCACTAGCGCGTAAGTGCCACCGGGGGGCCGGCCGGACCCTGGGGGCGCCCAGGTTGCTCTCAGTCCCGGAGCGGAAAACTTCAAGGCACCTGTTGCCCTTTCCGTTCCCACCCCTCCAGGGTGTCCCGCAGACACCGATACCCTGCCCAGCGGGCCTGGGAAGTGTCCACAGCGGGTGAAACTGGCGAGGGAGCCCAGGCTATCCCTGGTGACCAGTTAGAAAGACCCCCCAACGCCAGCTCCAAGACCTCCAACGGCCGAGGGGCCGCAGAGGAACCTCCCGGTGGGGGTCTCAGAACAAGCCTGGGGTGTTTTAGGCGCAGCGGGGAGAGGTCCCCAGCCTTCTGCTCGCATGGTCCAAGGCACTGACCTGAAGAAGCCAGTTCCTGGCTCAGCTGGGCCAGGACTGCCCAGACCCTTCACTTTCCGCTGCTCCACGGATGCTCTGGTCTCTCCCCTCCTCCCGTAAGAGGTTGGTTTGTTCATCCCGAGACATCCATCCTCAGATCACGGCCCTTGGCCCTCTACCCACTGCCCCTTGTGCCCAGACACAGGCTCTCAGGTTGGCCCCGGCCCTCCTTGCTGAAACACCGGTGGGTTTGTGCGTTGGCTCCGGTGTGGCTGCTCCGCACTTGAGCAGAACCTCGGCTGGGGGACGTAGAGGGGGTGCTGAATGTTGTTGTTATAAGAAATCATGTGTGGTTGACACATTAACCACGTGGCTCCCTGTTCGTGCCTCTTCTGATGCCTTTTGTCACTCTTCACAGTTGCCATTGGCTGCCCTCCCCAGGGGAAAAATAAAAAAAATTAGAGCACGTAGTGAAACCGCCTCTCTGCCCCTCTGCGCCCGCGTCTGACCGCAGCCGCTTCCTTTTCCGACAGAGAAATGGGTCAGGGGCTCCGAGGGCAGAGGATCAGGCCTTAATCTGCTCACTGCCCTCCTGCCGCCGCCGCGGGCCTTTCGGTCTCGGTCGCAAGCTTAACTTCCCTGCCATCTGCCTCGTGCGGATGCTGGGGGTGCAGCCGGGGGAGCGCTGCCGGCTGAGGTTTCCTGCTTTCGGGGGCTCCCACCTGAAGTGGGCCCGGGGGGAGTGGGCCGCCTTCTCCCCCTTCGGTGACAAGAACTGCTTAGAAAGGATTGAATGCCCCGTACCGGTTGTGGGCCGTTACTATCTTCACCCCGGAAAGCAGAGTTCATTGTCTCCGGGCTGGGCTGTGTGGCCTTCTTTGATTAAATGATTCCTGTTTTAGGAACCGGGTTTTCTGCCTCGGTTCGTTTTTTAATTGTTTCCAGGATTTGGTTAGGAAAATAGTTCAACGCACAGACTCTTCGAAAGACTTGTCTGGTGAACGCAGACCCACCTGTTCGATTCTAGGACCAATATTTGACGTCGGTGATTTTTGTGCGTTGGAGTCAGTCCTCCAGCGGCTCCTTGGATGGTCTTTGCTCCTTGTGGCTGGTTTCAGGGCACCGGTGTGGGCACCGGAGCCACGCTGTTAGCCTGGTCCTTTGGGGGCAGGGTTGGCACCCACAGATGTTTGTGATGAGAAGAACCATTTAGAGCAGATATCGGGGAGGAAAAATTATCCTCTGCCCTTCAAGGTTCTTCTGATGGGACTAGTAGTCAAATTGACACGAGGCAAATTAGCAGGAGAAAAACAAATTAAGGGTTAATCACATGTATCCAAGGGAGAGACCCAGGGAGAACTGTGTAACGCACCAAAATGGTGGAAGCCAACACCTTCAGTACCACCTGCAGCTAAAGACAAAAGCAGATGTTGGGGGTGGAGGGTCCTTTCTGGGAGGGTCCAGGGTGAGGCTGTTATGCAGATTTAAGCTCCTGCCTTCTCCAGTGCAGGCAAAAGCAGGCCTGGTCCCCTGAGGGGGAAACATCCTTACAAATGGAGATTGCCCTTACAAATGTAAATGGCTTTTACAAAGCGTAGCTTCTAGGTATTTTGGGCTTCTGGCACCTCTGCTGTTTCTTAAAATTAACTGGCCTGACGTGATCTGTATCCCAAAGAGGCCCACGTGGAGCGGTTAACTGCTTAACCTTCAACCGCCAGGCCGGGGCAGCTGGTGACGTTGACCCGTGTTGGTCACCGAGGCCGTGGGCTGCTGCCACCAGAACGCACAGCTGCCCTCCACTCCTGGCGGTCCTCCTCTTCCCTCTCGGCTGATGGGTTTTCTGGTGAATCCAAGGACAACTTGGGTGAGTCAAGACCAGAATGCCTTTAAACTGGAGGCAGAGGAAGGGTGTTGTCTAGCTGTGGTCTCCTGGTGAAAATCACTGCTAGGAACTCAGAGTTTGGTGCCTCATTCACCGAAGCAGCCCCAGTCGGCAGAGCAGGTAAGGCTCATGAACTGGTATCATAACTAGGCAGACGCTGCCTGTGAGCAGAGATGAGTGGAGACTAACTAGGCAGAAGCCGCCTGTGAGCAGAGATGAGTGGAGACTAACTAGGCAGAAGCCGCCTGTGAGCAGAGATGAGTGGAGACTAACTAGGCAGAAGCCGCCTGTGAGCAGAGATGAGTGGAGACTAACTAGGCAGAAGCCGCCTGTGAGCAGAGATGAGTGGAGACTAACTAGGCAGAAGCCGCCTGTGAGCAGAGATGAGTGGAGACTAACGAGGCAGAAGCCGCCTGTGAGCAGAGATGAGTGGAGACTAACGAGGCAGAAGCCGCCTGTGAGCAGAGATGAGTGGAGTTTGGCCTTGTCAACATCTGCTCACCTAGTGGCTGAATGTCATTGTCTTGCTCAAGAGATAAACAGTGTTCTCTATTTGTAATCTCAGTGCCAGGTTTGTTTGGTTTTGTTTTGTTTTTAAGCTCTTGATTGGCATAAGAGCCTCTGTTTGAGGAACTAAATACACGAGTAGAGTGGCTGTTGAAATGTTTCCACGGCTGTCTGTTTATCTCCTTGCTGTTTTTAGACGTGTCACTGTGCTGTCCCCATAGTAAGAGGTTCACCCTCAGAGCACGTGGGCTCCGTGGCTTTAGAAGATGAAGGTGGCAGAGATGTGCCGAGTTGTGCAGGAGGCATGGTCCCCTCTTCCTCGCGTTGAAGCCACTCGGCCTGGTGGTTGTAGTGACCACCAGTGGTCCTTCCTGTTCATGCAGTTCTGGGCGGCATTAGAAAGACACCGAGCAGCTGTTTATAGCTGGGCCAGGTCCTGTTTTCAGGGACCAGGTGTGTACGTCAGTGTAGTTCTGAGGACTGACTTAAGGAGAGCCTGAGGTCTGGTTACAGCATTGTGGCCCTGCGGCTGGTTCGGGGACCCAGGGGCAGGTTTGATCAAACCATGGGAAGATGTAGGTAGTGCACCTTCAGCCTGAGGCAGAAAACTCGTAGGGACAAACTTGCAATTAAAAAAACAAACACACAACGGAAGCAGAAAAAGCATTCTAAGCAAGTCACTAGTATGCAGAAGGGTAGGTAGGGCAAGAGAGCCCCTGTAAGAGGGCCCGGATGGATGGACAGCTGAACCACAGGTGGTGTCCATTTAACACAGAGCTGGCAGGAATTTCCCCAAGCTGAACCTGCAGCCTTGGTCAGGGAGGTGCAGCTCTTAGTAGGAGCCTCAGCCAAAGTTAGCCACTGAGAGTATCTGTTCTTCTCTTTCCCCAACTCTTGAAGGAAGGTAGAGGATCACCTCCCCACATTGTACCAAGAAAACAAATCTAAAAACCACCACACACAAGGTAGGAGGAGGTCAAATAATGTCCCCAGGACAAACAGATTTGCTAAAATTGCCTGAGAATAGTTTGGTGAGCGAAACATACCATGGTTCTCACCCAATCGTGGTGTGATCTTGATTGCATTATTCATCGCATGATAGATAACGGAAATTTCACATGACCAGTCTGATTCCAAATTCAAAGAGCATCCAGATTGGCAATACTCGGCTACAACTGATAAAAGAGAAGACCGTTTTCTTGCCCATTGCCACAACTCCCACAATCCTAGTTCTTGCTTGCCCCTCTTATGTGCCAGCATAGCCCCACCCCATACCCCACCTCCGTAACCACATTGCTGCTCTTGTCACCCAAGGAGCACAACCTAACTCAGATCCATCAATACTTCCCACACCCACCCCTGTAGTGTTCCTGTTGATGGTTCCAGATCTAAACTTCCAGGAGTGGAGGAAGCAGAGGGCCGTGGGGAAGGCTGGGTGAATGGGGAGGTGGTGGTAGTGGCCGTGGTTATTATTGTCCTGGGTGAGGGAAAGGAGGCTTCTGGGTAAGGCTG